TCTGTGGAATTCCTAGTCAATTTGGACATTTTTCCTTTTTATGTTCGATAGATCACTAATTTTATGACGCAGCAAGTGACAGTCTAGAAGAATCGAAAGCATTGACAGTCGATTAGGATAAAGTAGAATATGGGACGTGAAGCGTTGGTTGTACAGATTACAAAAATATAGAATAAATGCTATCTTAAAAAATATACCTTGAGAATTTCCAGGCCTGCTCAATAAAGCTTCTGATCTAAGAAACAAAACTCTCATCAAAAGTATTTTATTTTGGTTGTATGACCAGTGTAACCTGGTTGCTTCTCGAATATACAAGTTTATCTTACAATTATGCACTCTACTGACAGTTTTTGATAAGTTAAAAAACTTAATATTCTTAAGTATGCATTCATATTTTCGTTAATTTTCTTCAAAATAGGCTTCACTCTTTAAGCTATTTTTATATGCTTTTAAATAACAGCCTAGATCAGTAGATGCTAGTTAAAGTTAGACACCTCTCTTTTCATATGCTTTTGATCTACCTCGATACTTTGCCAACCAACTCCCTTGCATTCTTGTATCTTTCTATGTTCATCTGTTCTAATCGATGATGCGTGTTTCATTATATTATAATTCTGATCCTTGCCCACACAGGCTTATTTGCGGCATTCGACGTTATACTTAATTGTGAATTAACAGTTATGTCGTAAATATTCAATGCATCCAACCGCAATTGGAATTCATGTGTCTACAAAGTCCATATAATGTGTAAATTTCCTCGACACTCCTGCCTTACTAATATTTGTAGGCTCGCATCATAAACGGAGGCTTATCTTAGTTATTTTTATAGATTATAATATATATTCCAATCCTTATTTGTCTGGTGTTACCTGCCTAACATTATATCTATTATATTTCTTTTATTTCTTTTTATGTGTTTCCTCGACAGTGGCGAGCCTGTTGGCGAGATAAATAAGGATGCGGTTTCTCTTATCCTGGATGCCTTACTTCGACCACTTGATGTCAATCGTCCTTCCTCTGAGCTGCGTCCCTATTTGGCTGATGGTCCAGCCCCACGTGATTTATTTTATCCTTTAGCCAGCACTACCTACACTACTACCACCAAAGAACGGCAATCATTGATTCCAGATTCATCCAGTTTGGATTCGTCGGTTGAACTGTCTAAGCAAGAGGATGGTGATTCCACTGTGTTTACACCAGCTGAGCTGGATGCACTTAAATCTTTTGGTCGTGATAAAGTTAACCCGCTCCGATTATACACTCCAAAGATGCCCCATCCGA